GTTCTCAAAAGTGATCTTTGTTCCGACTCACCGTAGACTCACACATAATGTTTTAACGAAAATGTGTGTTGTTTTACTTTGGCATATGTTTTTTCATTATTTCAGACTTTGATTTGTGCTTTCAGAAAGCAATAAAAAAAACCAAAAATTACGAAATCTGTTTTCGCGTCTAAATATGATAATAATAATTTGAACGCAACACGCCGTATCAAAAGTTGTATTTTTTCCTTGAAACTTTTTTCAAAAAAGTTCACACATCTCAATCGTCTCGCTTTGAATACACACACACACACACAGATCTCCCGCAATTCGTATCTTTCGTAACGCGTTACTTTGAAAAAGAAATCGTTACGGCAACAAACAAGTTTCACAACCACATCGCATGTATATTCAGTGAAACGTTAAGAAACGTCATTTCGATGAGAGTATAGAGAGCTGTGCACGGCGCGCAGAACGTTATCTCTTCGATAACGATAGAGATGAGCGTGGATTCTGAATGAAGCGGTTTGTTTTCGACATGGCACACAAATCATCGGCTGTGCGCTAGACATCCGGAATCAAACAAAAAATCCGGATCTTCCGCGTATTTCCGCGATCGGTCGTCATTTTTTATATTTACGCGCGAGATGTTAACAAGATCTCGAGTTCCCAGATGCCATGTATCTTTCTCTTTATTATTCGAATAAGCTGAAACGAGATAATGCGACACACATATCTCTTTATATTTATTTGATCGCTGAAACAAAGAAATGATTTTTTCACCAAACCGATGACAACTGAGAAAAAAAATGTCGTTCGCGTGTAGAGCTTTAAGGATGTTTTGTATGTCCAATCGTAGCAAAAAGTAGCTGAAATTTGATGTTGACAAATATATGCTTTTCTTGTGTAGTTTGAGCAATAAAAATTACGCAGAATCTTATTATTATTCATAATTAGAGTGCAGAAATGTAATTTTGAATTTATCTTTAATTTTTTTTTTTTTACAATCAAAAAACCACGTACATATGCGCGCGCAGACGTTCAAGTAATAACAATGCCATGTTGCCACGTTTTTACAGAGAATCACGCGTCACTTAGATAACAGCACAAATTATATTGATCTTTTAAATCATCTACTGGTCAAAATTATTTAATCAAAAATTTCTTCTATATCTAATTTCATCTTTTTCAAAGTTTAAACTAATTCCTATCATTTTTTTATTCATTTTAGCCACTTGAATTAACGCGGTCACACAGTTTTGATCAAGTTACGGATAAACTCGTTGCAAACTAAAATGCTTATAACTTTTGATTGCTTCAGTGAATCGACTCTGAATTTTTTCATAAGTCTCTGAACATATATAAGAACAATATGTAAAATTTGTATTTAATTGCTAACATTTCAAAAATAAGTACTAAACATCCTCAAAGTTGTATTCAGGGTAAGATAAAAGATATGCCAGATTATTCAAATTTTGCTAGTCAGTAGATAATATAAAAAAAAACATTGTGCAAAATTTCAGCTCTTTTGCGAGTCTTGTAAAAAGTTAGTACGATTTTAATTTAACACGAGTTCTTACGGGATTTCACGATATTCTGATATAAATTAAAAAATAACTGTAGATGTAGATATGCCGTAATTTTGAAATTTTTTGCAGTTGTTAATAAATATCTTAAAAACAAATTCCACTCGAAAAAATAATCATTTCGAGAATATCACATAAAATATAAATTTATATTTTGCTAAAATTAATAAAAATATTTATTTAATATACATAAAACAATTATATTTGTAATTGTATACATCAATTGTTACGTTTTAACGAACTTTTATGATTCATACATTTCCAGTTTTTCATTTATTTTATGTTGCAAGTAGAGTATAATCCTACTCACACAAAAGTATCAAAAGTGAACATTAAAATGGCACAGAATATACGTAAAAACCTTTTCGTAATCATTAAAAGTATAATAAATAGTTTTTTAAACTTATTTTAATACAAATAATACTTTTCCAGCAAACAATTATTATCTAAATATTAAAATAGCTTCGGTTTACGCTATGTTTCTTAAACTTTTGACTGAGATCTTACCCTGAATACAACCTTAAAGTCTCTCTACTTGACGTGTCTGGAAAGCGGCGTTACTTTCCGTATAACGCCTTCCTAGATATCATCGATTCCGCCCGTTTCCGCGGCTTTCTAGATTTATCGAGATTTTAAGCATTTGGCGCGACATGTTGCCGCGAAACTACCGTTTTTGTCTTTCCGTGCATGCGCGCATCGGGCCGTCGTCCGCTTCCTCGTGATTTATCCAGTATTTATGTATGTATGCGCCTCCCGTAGATCGGTGAGAGGACACCTCTTGCCCAACGACGCGACGCTTCAGAATCGGCGGAATCGTCGTCCACGGAAGCTCCAATTCGACTTGATTTGTCGATTCGCGTACGACAAGCGAGCGTCGTAAATATATGGTGTATGTCATCTCGCTCGTTATTCGTCGCCACATGTTCTCGAATGACATTCATTTCCCTGTCAAGAATTTCTAACTTGGCTTCCAAACTATTAAAAGAGTCTTATCTATTTTTAAAAGAGAACAGAAGTCTTCTGTATTGAGAAGAAATTTATCGTATATTTTTTGTTCACTGTTGAATATTTACGATCTAAATAGGAATTCTTCTTTTGCTTTTATCGCTGGCCACGTGCCGCGCCAGAAGGACGTGTGGATGTTGGAAGTCTACGTACGTCCCGGGGAGGAAGGCGAGAACTCCGCGAACGGAAAGGAAGCCGCGCCACGAATGCGGTTCCCTTGGTTTCTTTTTCGAATACCTCGACGGCACGCACACACATCTCGTTCACACAGCGTTTCCCCCTCCTCCGTTCTTGAACGAGACCGACGCACTTACCGTGCCCGAGGTGCATTCCTGCACGAGCGTATTTCAATATAAACAATTGGCGAGAGCGAATTTTCCCCGGGCCCGCGGCGCGAGTGATTTCTGGCCGACGTGACGGCGATGCTTCTGTCTGCGATCGCGACCCCGTCGGTCTCTCGGCTGAAGGAAGGCACTCCGTTTCTCGTTTCTTTTTTTTCCTCGTCTTGCCTTCTTTCCGCCGCTTCCTCTCCCTTCCGCAAAGTCGCGATCTCTCTTTCTTCCCGTTGGAATTTTGTTTCAATTTATTTGAACAGGAGATTTCAGTTTGTTAATTGCATAATTTTCTACACGAGATTATGAATTTGCGACCGGCGCATAAAAGAGAATTGCAAATTTGAAATGATTCGCGAGACAAAGGTCGGAATAATCGGTACACTGGTTATACTTTGTAACGTGTTGTGATATTTTTCTTATTATTAACATCTGCAAAAAAGACCAGTCGCGTTACATCTACAATTCGTACATACCGCCATTATGCGTCTCGACACTGATTACATCATCATCATCATCAGTAATGCTTTTAGTACTCGTCGTAGCGATGTCCTACGCAACACACGCTGAGAGATACAATATATATATATATATATTTTTTCATTTGTATATATTTATTTATATATTTCTTTGCAATTTATTTATATATATGTTCATATATATTTTCATATTTATATCCATTTATATATTCTTTATTTATATTTATATATATTAATTATTTACATGTTGTTTTTTTATACAAAAATGTTCACGGCTTTATACATAACTATGTATAAGAATGTCACTTGTGCCTTGTCGACATACATACACGCATTCGATATATAATACAATTTTGAGTTTCGCGCGTGAGCAACCGCATTGGCGAGCACCTCGAGAAGGATCCACGTTACGGGAATGTAAATATCGAAGAACCGAAAACGACGTGTCGACGAGGACACGCCGCTTTCCGAGTTTTTAAGTGGAATCAAGCGATATCTCACGTTTTAAGTACTCGATACATCAGAAAATTTACTCCTACAACAGCATTTGTTTTATTTTTCAATTTAATTTAACGTATGATCGATATATATCTTTGCGCGAGAATCAAGCTGAAAATACCGTTAGTATTAGATCCCGCTCGAGGAACTCGATCACAAAATATTCTTTTCTATGTACGGAACCAACGTCGCTTTGCTTATATAAAAAAAAAAAAAAAAAAAAAAAAAAAAAAAAAAAAAAAAAAAAAAACAAATGAGAAATATCCCATATACCCCTAAAAAGAGAGTGCGCCACACTAAGTAACTAGCTCGACAATTGCCACATTTAGTATAACGTAATATTCAAATATCTCCTCTCGTGGTGTTGTGTGAACAACTCTATACAACGCGCCGAGTATACGTACACAATACACGTATATTGTACAATATTTATAAGATAGAAAAAGCACCGTCTCGGAGAAAATCGGGTTTCAATTTTGACATACATATATCACATTATGTAGTTCGCATTATATTTCGCTTCTTTTCTCTCACATTCACTTCTCTCTTCCACTTGTTTTACACGCGCATTTAAAACACACGCACGCGTTGACAGCGGACATTACACACACACACGCACACGCACACTATCTCACCGCGCACCGTCCTCATTTTTCTTTGCATATTCAACTCGTGGTCATTCTATCTTTATCTTTACGTCTTTTGTGCCGACTCATCGGAGACTCAGCGACGAGCAATATCGAATATTCTTCATATGTACTTCAATCAAAAATATACTTCGATATAGCGCATTGTGCGTCTCCACTCCACTCGTTACGACAAATTTTTCTCGAATCGAGATCTGCCATTACATTTTTTTTCTTTAGTTTAAATTACACCAACGTTTTTTTCGATCAAAAACCATCTTTGGAAAAAGAAATACAATTTTAAATATTACCTAACGGAACATGTATATATTACCCTCATTACATTAATTTTGTTTGCGATTTACAAATAATAAATTCACATAAAGTTTCAAAACTTAAAAATTCTGCTTTTTTTTGAAGTTTTCCCGACTTACCGAGCTATCTATAATAAATGTACATACATAAAATAAAAATATGTATATCTATTAATTGTATACAATAAAATATTTTAACATAATTGTAATTTTGACAATTTATAGAAGAATATATTCTTCACATTTTCTCTTTTAATTACAAACCTTAAATGCTTTCCGGTATAGTTTTTGTTTTTACAAACTAATGTGATATCAATTTTGCGGAATGGGACGCGCGTAACGAGTTATCCTACAATTCAACAAGACGCAACGAAATTTTCATGCAAACAGAATCACGTTTTCAGAATGTTTTTAAGAATTTAATGTAAAACGGAATAGTCTCTTACCCTTTTCGCTAAGTTTTCTTCGGACGTTGTATAGATTTTTGTAACGAAGTTTGATCGACAAACGGTCCATCGATCGGCCCCTCAATCTCCGCAGGATCATTTGTTTAATGATGAAATAATTTGTCGCGCAATGGCACTGGCATACAAGGAGGACGTCGTCGTATCGCATTCTCGAGTGATCTCGTCACGTACGTTCTTAAGTAACCCAAGGTAAAAATATCGTATTTACAAGATATATAATATTGGCTGTTATGATATCGCGCGTTATATTGTCATCCAAGTTGAAGTCGTAACGACGTGTGGTCGTTTCGCCGTCGCTCTCTTCTTTCTCGAAGCTTTCCTCGAAGACGACCGTCGTCAGACGAGACGTCGAAATCACGCGCCGTAAGCCTAATACGATACAAGCAAATGACGAAACGTGATCGTTTGCCGTTCGCGTATACGAACGCCGCCTGTTACAAACACTGCCGCAAAAAGGATTATAATTTATTTACTTGGCGCGATAGAGTTTTCGTGAGTAATTTTCTTTTCTTCGTGATCTTGACACGCACAATTCTTTGCACTTTACATTCTACTTACAACAGAGAATCGTTTTTTTTTATTTACCAATAAAGTTGTCGCTAAAAATATCGGGCGCGCCGACTGTGTCTCTTCGTTTCTAAGTACTATACATAAAAATTTGTACAATATATTTATATTTAAATAGACCAACACGTATATCAACATCGCATACTGTGGCCCTTACAAAACAAATTTCGCTTTTAAGAATAAAAAAACAGTGCGCATTTGATCTACTTCAAAGTTACAATAAACATATAATCGAGACAAAATACGAACGGATAAGAAAACCAGGAAAAAAAAACGCATGAATTAAATACGTTGCGCAAGAAAGAGAAAACGTCGATTCTCGAACGGCGCTGTTGAACAAATGTTTTCATAGGAAAATTGGATATAAAAAATCAATTTTACAACAAAGTCGCGTCCTAAGATTTCGGCGAGCGAGATTAAAAAAGAACTTCTCGAACACATGGTGAAACAACCGAAATAGAGACTACAATAGCGATCGGAAATAATCTCAAAAGTCACGAAAACGTTCGACGAAAACCGTGGGACTCGGACTCTGCCGGTGCACACGTGCGTCGGGAATGAGCGTCGTCCGCGCGACCGAAAGGAATATTTCCAAAAGAATGTTTCACGGACTACAGACGCGGAGAGAACGGCCTCGTAGAGGAGGCGTCAAGACGAATGACTAAGGCCCGTGGCATGACTCGACTAATAGCGAGTACTCGACGCGAAGATTGATTCAAGATAGCGATGGGAGATTCACCGGGCTCTCTTTCTCTCTCTCTCTCCTTCATCGTTGATTATAAATGCTAATTTATGACTTCTTCACGCCACGCTCGTCTTGCTTCCCCCCCCTTTCTTTATTTCATTCTTTGCCATATAACAAAACGCTTATCTATCTATTCTCTCCTCTCCCTTTTTCTTCCTCGTTTCTTTTTCTTACTCCTTTCAATCTATCTCTTGTTCACTCGCTTTCTTTTACTCATGCATACATGCACACATGCTCGCCTAAAACAAACCCGCGCACAATCTCTCTCTCTCTTTCTTTCGTCTTTGCTCGATTACTTTAGCGAGTACCAAGTTTTAACGCCCAGTAGATGTTCCTGGGCGCTGTCGAGCCACTCGGCGATCTCTGAATGAGCAACGTCTTTATTACAACATCTTTTCTCTCTCTCCCTCCCGCTTTTCCCTGCTCCTTTCGCCTCCGAGATTCCTCTTCTCCGAACAAGACGACGTCTCTTCACCGCCCTCGTATCTTTCTCTCCGCGCATATTATCCTATCACTCTAGCTCGAACTCAGTTAATGATCACGCTCAATTCTCTTTCCTAAACTCTCTCTCTTTCTCACCGTAATCTTTCCTCTTTCGTTCTACTTGTTCGTGTTTTATCAATGAGTCTTCTTTACCATTCCGAGGTCGAGTCGCGTCTCTCCTCATCGCGCGTAAAAGTCCCTACATGATCCCGATCGTATCTATCTAGCGAAACACAAAGACAATGAGAGAAATATTGACGAAAAAAAAAACGACAAATTGCTCGTTGCCGCAAAGTCGGAGCGACTTGATATATAACGTACTAATTAACGATGTTAAAACTAGAATGACATTTGGAACGCATCCGTTTCGACGTCGCTTCGCGATTCGGCGAAAACGAGTCGCTTCCGCGTCCTTCTCTTCGTCGCACGCACAGCACCGAGCGTCGGGATTCGCGGCGCCGATTCTCTCGCGACGATTATCTCTCGCGCGGTTTTAACACGCGAATCGGGCACGCGGATCGTCGCCGGGCGTCGCGACGCCGCCGCTCGGACTGTAATATTATGCGGAAGCCAGCTGCCTCCAGACAGAGTGTCACATTGTGGATATGTGATAGGGCCAGTTGAAGCTGTTGCCACTCAGCAGCATGTCTCTGATAAGCGTCTCGATCGGCGTCTTGCCTACCAGCCGCACGAAGAAGAGCTGCTCGATCACTTGCGACGAGACCGTCCGCAGGGACGGCAATCGCAGCAGCAGCTTGCCGAACCTCGTCGGTTGGTTCGGGTACTGCGACCGGCAATACTCTTCCAACGCGCACTGCGACTTCTCCTGGAGGGATTCGATGTGCGCTACGTCCGAGAGACCACAGGCGTCTGTAAACAACAAAATTGAGAAAACAATATTTAGATTATATTCGTATTCAAAGAAGAAAGAGAGAGATGGTATTTCTATTTTTTTTTTCAAACATCTGTAACTTCGATAGCAAATTTTTTTTGACCCTCTATGGGCCGAATTTCCCTTTGGTTTCTATCTGCAGACAACTTGCAAGATATTTATTTTGACATTTCAGGTTGATGGTGCCAACCGTCATCAATATTGTTATTGGTTATTTCAGAGGCATTATATAATTAAGACGTATACATCATCTTGTGAAAAAAACTAAAACTATTTGGTAAAATGTGGATATATTAGCTTGTGACTTGAAAGTTACATGGATCCATAGAGGGTTAACATGCATACATCTTGACAAATTTGTAAAAATCTATTTTAAACAATTAATACTAATAAGTTTTAGTTACTCTTTTGGTTACAAACTATGCAAAATTTTGAAAGGTTCTAGGAGCCTTACAATGAATGTTGTTGTGTAATAAATATATGTATATGTATATACAGAGTGTACGGAAAATCGCCCGTAATACTACGGAAAATGATTGGAGATCTAAAAAGAATAAAAAAAGCTATATAAACATAGGTCCGGAAATAAGTCGTTTCCGAGTTATAGCCACTTTTATGTTTAAAAATTGTAATTTGTTTCATAATCATAATTTATTTTATTGTATTTTAACATAAATAACTTCATTTCGGACTATTTTGATGGAAGAATAAGGACCTGCATTCGTGCTGAAGGTGGCCATTATGAACATCATATTTAATTCGATTTAAATACCTGTTTATGTTTATCCTTTATTTTAAAGATAATGTAACTGTATTTACAAATATTGAAAACTTGAAAAAAACTTCAGAAATAAAAAATAAGAATTGAAAACTTAAAAGAATAAAAAATAAAAAATTAGAGATGCTAAAGTGGACATAAAAGTGGCTATAACTCGAAAACGACTTATTTTTGGACTTATGTTTTCATAACTTCTTTTCCTTCTTTTTGGATCCCCCGATCACTTTCTGAAGTATTGTGGGCGATTTTCCGGACACCTTGTAGATATATATTTATTACGCAACAAACATCCAACGTAAGGCTCCTAGGAGCTTTCAAAACTTCACGTACTTTCTTTTAAACTTCGGTTATATATTTTATTTTATTTATTGTGTTTGGTTACATACTTGAAACTGCGAGTTTAAAACTTTTTTTGCGGAAAAAATTTACAAGAAACACACAACCTATTTTGAATTTTGAAATGCAAAGTACTTAACTAGGTAAACGAGATAGTGCTGTGTGTTTTGGATCTGGCGATCGTAATGCCTTTTCCGTGACGATAAATACAGTATTGCATTTTTTCGCAAAAAACTATAATTTTCACATGCAAACTATCGAGCGTGTGCAACAAAGAGAACAGAACGCGTATATTTAGAATCAATCGCGGTTCGTAATAACGATTGTATCTCCGATTTAGTGTACGGAGTGTTGCGATCGCGCGTATGCAGTTATGGCACAAAGTTGGCAGGGCAAGTTTTTTAAATATGGCGTTCGTCGAAGAACGCGTCGCGAGTGTTGCGCGTACACAATGATAACGAATGTGTTTCAACGACGGACTGCGGCGCATTGACTAGTGAGTGGATTTAAACAAATATTCTCTTTTGAAAACTTGGAAAAATTGATGACTAAAAGATTTTATTTAAAAACAAACGCGTTTTTACATAAAATCTGTTAGTCTTCAATTTTTTACATTTTTTTTACGCTTCAACTCTAATTTCCTGCTCGTGTTCAAGTCGATGGTAGACAATTGCAATTTTTCTGCTCTCAAAGAGCATTTCTTCGTTAGGCGAAGCGCGCGCGGAAGGCGATAACTATTGCCGTTTAATCTACGCGCAAGGAAGAAGCACCTACGCTTTATTATCGGACTAATTATCGTTGTTGCCCATTAGCCGAGGCATGATTAGCGAGGCGGAGAGTTCCTCTCTAGCGATCTCGAATGGAGAGACGATCGCGAACCAGAAGGAGTAAAGGAAAAGAGGGGAAGCGGGTAAAAAAGGGAGAAATTAAACTTGGCCTACCGCCGACAATGACGGGCGAGCGGAAATCGAGCTCGCGGAAGTGTTCTCGCGAAGGCAATCGTAGCGTGATAGTTTAATCTGCTGCATCGAAATTATCTGCACGACTGCGCGTGCCAAGATTCGCCGAGATTTAATTTCACAGACTTCTCCAAGTCCATTTTTCCGACAATGTGATCAATGTTAACTGTCAACTATGTACGTGATTTCTTAACTTGATATTTCTTTCAAATATAATACGATCGCTTGAAATTTTTCTTTTTTATCCTAAGAAGCCAGATTAAAAGAACTAGAGAATTTAATTAACTTTTCGCGGCCAGACCGAGTCTGTGAGCGACTTAAGATCGAATATCTCCGCAAAAAATCAATATTTTTTCAATTTTGTTTTTTTGAATCGACAGTTTGAACGATTCTGCGTCGATAAAAAAGTGAAAAAAATCTCTAGTAATTTTGAAGATACAAGCGTTTGAAAAAACTTAGTTTTTTTTTCTAGAAACTTGCGCTGATGCGCAAGTTTTGAGCGGGTCTGAGAGACCCACGTCTGGACTTGAAGGGAATAATTAAATAAAAAAATCGCCCTGAAAATGTAACACACAAGTAATGTTTACTACACGTCAACTACTATTGTTGCGTGTACGAGGATATGAATCACTGTTTTGTCAAGTTCAGACGACGCTACAGGTGTGACTTGTCATTTTGACGCGAGGGTTAAGGTCTTCGTGGGGTTGTAGCGCGAAACTGCCTACGGGCAGATGAGACTGAGATCCGCCACGCTGGAATGCACGTGCCAACCGGAGCCGCCGGTGCAAATGTCAGACTAATCACGTGGGCCATCTGCTCACTTCGGCGTCTCGCCCGTGAAACCGTGCACCATTGTTTCGCGGAAAATTCAAGTCTCTTGTTCGCGCGCGATGAGAGAAATGACGCGTACCCAAGTACAACATATCGGGTGTACCCACGAAGAAAAGTCACGATATCGCGTAAATTTAACCAGTCATGTTTGTTTTTTTTTTCTTTCGCGCAAAAGAATTTTCACTTGTTATTCCATTCACGAGACTGGAAAATAGCTATTTATTTTTTGCGCTTTTTTGGTATTTATCCGCGATTTTAAATGAAGCTTCGTATTACTTTGGCCGGTCGTTAGCACTTCGAGAAGCTCATTACATCGCACGCACGTACTCACTCCGTCACGCACACATCAAGGTCGGTTTCATTAGCGCGTTTTTCCGTGAAACGGGAACCCGCCTGTCGCAGTCAACTACGACGAATCGCTTTTTATCAGGAGGCGTGCGTGCGTGTGCGTGAAGAATCGTGGGGTAAGCTGTTCGCATAAATCGACGGGGACGGTGTTGGTCGATGATCGAAAAGTCGGGCGTGCGTGCCGTGAGGGGTCATCGGAGGGTACTTTTTGTCGCGAACTCTCTCTCCGAGACTGTCGTTTCTCGTTACGCGATCGCATCCTCTCCTCGACACGCGGCGTGCACATAAACGCGGTTGGCGGAGAGACGCCAGATTCCTTTGTGGTGGGGCCCACGTGCGCATAATGGGCCATTACGCGTACGCGGGGAAATAATGCGATTCGCATTTGCATTTCCGAGCGACGTCTGCGCGCGGAAACCGCGCGCGGGAACGAACGAAATTACCCGCGACCGAAACCACGGAGTTTGCCAATTGTTGGGGTAGGTCAGTGAATATAACGGGATATCTAGTGAATGACCATTGATTTTACACATGCACACAAACACGTTCTTGTAGATATAACAGTATAACAGACAGATTTATAAATATATAGATATAATCCTATAACAAATGCAACCTATGCAAATCCAAATTTGTTGTTCGAGCGATTTTTGAAAATACCTTTTGGCTTATTTAAAAAAAATAAAAACAAACAATATCAAAACTAATGTTATTTCTTTAGAATGTCGAATAAAACCTCATAAATTTTTTCAGACTTTTTGCAACGTTTTGACTAATAAAATATTGCGTAAAATGTCAGGATTTGCAAGATAAGTTTGAAGCAAATAATATGTATTTTATATATATAATTTACTCTATAATTTTCAAGATACATAATTTTTTTATAAAGTGTTTTTTAATCAAAGTCTTATTTGAATTTATAAAAATGACGTGTAGTGCGCGCCCGTAATAATTTAGCATTAGAAAAGAAAAGAAAAGAAACTGTGATCGCAATATAACGCAAAGTGGCAATAAAATATGCTTATCTCACGTTAACGCGTATTACGCACTCGTTTACTTTGCTATTTACGCTTACGACACGGCTTGTTTGCGTATTATTATTACAGAGCGCTCAAGGGAACCCGTATCTTACAAGATCTCAACAAACCTCTCTATCTGTTATCTAGCGCGGTGTATCGTGTAATTCGCGTTACAAATCATAATTTCAGGGATAGATAAACAAGCTGCGAGCTATTTTTCGAGTAAAATGCATAATTTCAAACGCGCCTCGTGATTAATTGCGCGAGCGACAGGTTTGCGGTTTTCCATCGCCACATCATACGTAATCGAGGACACTTTTGCATCGGCAATCGAGACATTTAATTGTTAACACCTCGCGGCACGGGAAATCGCGTTCTCCGAGCGACCCGCAAACCGCATAATTACAACCTCCTTTTACGAGGGACCGTTCCACATAAAGACTCGCAGAACGATTCTCCCGTCTACCAGGCTCTTTTTTTGCGAAGAGTCGAGGAACGGAGAAATCGGAATGATATTATATACGATTGCGTTATACTGCCGGGCAAATATAAATATACTGCACATCGACTCCAGTTAACCTTTTTGCGCGTGAATCAATCAATGTATTTGTCACACACACACACACACGCACGCACACTCATTGTATATAATTTAGAATAATAATTAAATCGAGTCACAGCGCAACGTAACAACACACATCGTCCTG